CGTATTGGACTGAAATGGAATTATTGTAAAGTGGTGAGCCAGCTAACCTTGACTAAGAGGAATGACCGCATGACTTAGTAGATTTTACTNAAAAGTTAACTGGATAGGTAGTATCTATAAAATAAATATTTATGGTTGAAACAAGACGTATCAAAATTAGCTAATTAATAATAATTAATTCGCCCCATTCAATTGTTATCTACTGTTCAAGAAAAATTGATCTTACTAACAAGAGTATTTTTTTTATTGTTTTTACTGCTGGATTGTGTATATGCACATAGCCAGCTATATAAATATGCATTCATCATAGAAAACTTAGTGATGATATTGCACTAAATTTCCCAATTTCTCATTTTGGTCAAATTATTACCATAGTAAAATATTGCTATTTCTTCATTTGAATATGAATTAAATAAATTGCTTTTACACACTTAAAATAGAAATTTTAGCCACTATTTGAAATAATCTAACTGATAGGTTTGAAGTCTATATTGAAAAGTTTGAAGTCATTCTACTAATTCTTTCCACAACAAGGAAAAAAAAGAAGAAAAGATTGAATTGCTTTTGTGAAAGGGAGAAAAATGATATCTTTGCTTATTCTATATTTTTAGGTAAAAGTGAAATCAACTATGCTGTATTTTCTTTCGATTATAATAATTATTACAGTACGAAATTAAGTTCCTAGCAATTTGGATATTCAATTTTCTTGTGTGTCATTGAAGTATTGAGCAAATATAGCTAATAACATCATTGTTATAAATATAGGTGTTATGTAGCTTAATTATTAGATTGATATATTTTTTAATACTACTGGATACTTGTAATATTATGATATATCATAATTTTATTTATGTATTATAATTTTATTTATATTGTTTTTAAAGCATGACACTTCAGACTAACAATATTTATGTTTATTATAAATACAATGTAATCGTTAAGTTGTCTCACGGTACAATTATCCTAATTTATATAAAATATCAAAGATAACTCTATTATGAAGTTTTACTGATTACATTGATAGTTTATTATGAAGTTTTCTAAATTTACACATTAGTTATATTTTCAATAAATTTTACTTTCTAACCGCGTCTAAATTATTTTGAACTTGGGACCTAAATAATTGCTGTCTGTAACTAACTATCAATTTGAATTTATATATTCAGAATTTCAATTAACTACCATAGAGTACTTGAAGGCGCTCTGTTGGGATGAAATTGACTCGTTGGACACTTGGATAATTTTAAATAGTTAATTTCAAATTAGATTAAGCTAGAGTGTGCAAAAATAAATCTAAAAAGCTAACTAAGTTTTCTATGAATAACCATATAAAAATTCCAACAGACAGACAAATATTTTAACGGATATTTCACTTGTGTAAAATCTTTTTTTGAATTAAATTACCTTGAAATTTTAGTTGTAATTTGTTTTCCACAACATTTTTTTCCAGTTGTTGTAAATATTTATCGTCGAAATATGTAATTTATAAGGTTTAATTATTTTATCAATTTAATCTCCATAAATATATTGCACATTCGAGATGGCAATCAATTGAACAAAAGAAAAAAGAGGTTCGATCAACTTTTCTCTAGACAGCATTATTATTGGTGGCGAAACAAATAGCCAAGCATAATAAATTGCGATGTTGATTTAAAATTAAATATGCTAGTGGGAAATATTGACATGAAAACATGTAAAGTTAAGAATTAAAGCATTCATTGGCTCACAAGTTGAAANAAACAAAACACAAATCAAATCTGACTTGGGTGCTGAGTCCTATTTTCATGAAATATATTTATTTATAGTTTAAATTATCATACTATTGTTTTATACTATATTTTAAAATATGCGACATTTCAGTATGAAAATATGTATACATGTGACTGTTAGGAGAGTGTGAGCGCTTACTAATCAATAACAGCTCGATCGAAGACCTATTGTAATATGTACAATGAATTATGTTATTTAATACTAGTTTTCTATTTGTAAATAGAAAATAACGATAGAATAATTAATAATTTTCGTGTTGCTTAATATTACTCTGTCATATCTATACACACATACATATATATAACAATTTTTCTATACAATTTCCTACGTTCATCATTTTTCCTATTTTTCATATTTTGATTGATACATTCTAATTTTTTTTAAAATTTTATACTAATTTGAAATAATAAATTCAACGCAAACAACAGTTATTTGTAAACAAAGCGAGTATAAGCCATTTTTTCACTTACATTATTTACCAAGTATTGTGGTTTTTGGTACTTTTCAAATTATATTGGAAAAATAATATGTTCACTATCAAATATCTAGTTTTACGAATAATAATCTATTTCCAAAACCAATTGGATTGGATGGAGTAGCAAAAGCTATTGTATTTTAATAAAATCAACCAAGACACCTAGGACACCAAACATAGAGTCTAGTGTTGAAAAGAGGATAGGTAAACTAAACAACAAGCTCTTTCTTTGAATGTTATTGGTTGCTTTGCAAGTTGATTGGCATGTGGAGACGACGATTCTATTGGATTACTAGAGTAGGAAAATGAATTTCAAACATATACTTTGAAATTTGAAATTTGAGATGAAAATTTTGTCCTTTTATTAATTGCAATTGAATTAAAGAAAGGTATGCCTATACTTTTGTGTTTGTAGAAGACTTGGGCTGTGGTCCTGTTTGTGTTGGGGAATTGGATTGTGGATCTCCTATTGTGGGTATGGAGTCGTCTATTTGGGCGAGTGATACGATTCGTTATTTCGGATCTAGTTAGGTGTAGTTATGTCATTTTTGGATCTGCAACTTGGGTTGTGACTCTGTTCGTGTAGTTCGTCAGCCGTGGGTGTCGCCGTCGTGGTTAGCTCGAAGTGGTTTGCCGTTTGCGGGAAGAACTTTATTCCAGTTTCTAGTATTTGTTGTTAATTTATATTTGTATTAACGTTGGTGTTTTATTCTCCCAGTTGGAGGAGTTTCGTTTTTCTACTTTTCAAGTTTTTTAGTTTTGTGTTTATTGTTCTTTTAGAAACTTTTATTCTCCACGAGTGAGAGTTGTATAGTTTGTTTTATCGTGAGTGGGTTAATGTAGTTAGTTCTAGGCTACTATTGTGTAGTCTTCTCATTAGATTCAGCTGAATGACTGTTTGACTAGTTCTAGCAGGTGACTAGATGTACATATATGTCAGTTAATTTATATAACAT